TATATCTAGGAAGTTTACTGCAGGCTTTGGGCTTAAGGAAGTGGTGCGGTGGTGTGTTAATCTTGATCCGTTGGTGAAAACCAGGCTTTCTGCTTTAGCAGTGAGAACTTGTCGCTTAGGTAATTTTTCCCTGTTTTGTTGAGGCTAAGCCTTTTTATTGAGACCAGGCAGCTAGTCTCAGGAGCACAGGTTGTGAGCAGTGGATTCTTCTCACCAGCATGGTCCCTTTTGAGATGTGTATCTTGGTTAAAGATTTCAGTCAAGGGTTATTTATTTTGATATCTTCATGAGCTTTTGACTTGGTCACTTTGCTCAGAAGAGCAAAGTTAGCTTGATTTAACTGGGGTACCTCAACCCATCCTTACTAAATTTAGTGATGCTTTGCTTTTAACTGTACGGAGTGGAGATTTCTGCAGGAGATGGTGCTTGCTTTTGCCATGTCCCTCACTAAATGACTGTAGGTATTTCAGATGCTTGTGTGCTTGGGTTGTTGCTGCATTTCTACTCCTTTTTTAAGGAGTTGAGTAGTAGTAGTGGTGTTGCCCATAGTGCAGCAAGCTGAGGACAAAACAGCAAGTATCCTGTGTGTGCAGTGGTCACAAATACTGCTGTCCAGTAGATATGAATTAAACTTGTGTTGACAGTATATCTTTAATACCTTTGTCAATCCGTGAAAGACATTAATTGTAAATAACTGGTTCATATATACTGCTAGGTGTATTGGACATCATAATTCTTTTAGCAACAGAAACAACTGTTTCAGTTTTGCATTTCTAGTAATGAAAATATTGTGCTGGTAAGGCTTTCTCTGTTGCAACTCTATCTGTTCTGTAACTAAACGTTTCATCAGGTGACAGCTGCTGTGAGTGATGCTGTTTTTTGAACAGCCAGAAGGCAATGGGACCTGGGCTCTGCCAGGTGAGATTGCTTGACTTGTAGGCTGAAAGCAGCGTTAGCCTCTCCAGCTTCCTTTGTCACGAGAATGTAGACCAAGAGGGATTGTATTATCCAAAATGTAAAGTGATTGACAGTTTCAGGACCAAGCTGCTGAATAATTTGAAAACTGGAGCTTACTGAAAGAAACTGGCCCAAAATTGAATTGGAAATCCAGAGTACGAGGAGGCATATTTCCTGTAAGATAAGTCATAAAGTAAGCAGGTCATCGTAAGTTTATGCACTCTCTTGATGCTCATCTTTAATTCAGGGCAGCAGCTTTGTGGATTGGGCAGGGGAAATACTTGCAACTGTGAAGTTACTTCTTTATCACATGTCTGGAAATGCACATTGTACCCAACAGCGGTAGTGAGTGTGGGAAGAGGAAGGCTTCAGCCTCCCTGTGTCCTGAGTACACCTGTAGGCTAAGGCAGTACGCAGTGTGTAAGACTTTCTGGAGGTAAGGTAGGGAGTATTCAGCGAGGTCAATCCTCAGAAAGCGCTTGTAGCTTGAAAGGCAAATGTAAGTTGGGAAGGATAAAAATACTTTTGGGAATTTTTGCAACTTGATCACCTAAAAACCCATAAGGTTATTAACTAGCTCAGACATGTCTAATCTTATAAATATAGGACCTCTAGACAGTGTGTGTGCTTTCTTTTGCAGTACCCGCTCCTGATTTTCTTTTCCATGGACCGATGTAGACTTAATCAACAGCTGACATGAAGAGGGTAGAGGAAGAAGCTATTTTGCGATAATGTCTTAAAAGTATATGAGAGCAAAAAAGAGAGTCTGTTATGTTTATTGCTAATTGAGAACAATTATTTTACTGCCTTTGTGGAAAATTTCCATCTTCTGTGGTCTGTAGTCATTCTAGTTTTAGCTGCTGTAGTCCTGCAAGTATGCTTATCTCTGTGTGTTACAGCAGTTCAGTACCTGTGTAATATAGCATTGCCTTCTAGTAAGCTGTGTATATTCTCAGCTTCAGAAAAAAAATGTTGTAGGATAGAAAGGCTTTTTGGGTAGATTCACATATGTGGGTACTTCTGCTCTGTTACAGTACAGGCAAAAGGAAGAAATAAATCTTGAGTTTGTGTCAGAAGGTGGTGATACGCATGATGGTCCTTACTGACTTGTGGTATTGCCACACTCCTCAGTCATTGCTTTAACCTGATCATAGGGAATTCCGTAATGTGCACGAGTGATGCTGTTAATTACGATTGTGATGTGGATGTATGGCTGATTAATTCAGGGATTGTGAATTTAAGCTGCAAGCTGTTATGAAGGTATGGGATTGAGTCTCCAACCTTCGTGTGTTTATGACAGTTGCTGTTGATAAGGAGACGTGCTGTGCTTGTGGAGTGCAGAGTAGATAGGCTAGTCATTTTCTTCAGTCGTGTAAGTAGGAAAGCCAATAAATTAGCAAGGATAGACAGTCTGTTGTGTTTGAAGAGTCTGACTTGTTTTGCTTGTTATCAGGCTCTACTTTTCTGTCCCTAGACTTTATTTTTTGTTGTAGTGTGCTCTTTCCTTCCGGTTCTGCAGCAGGAGCTGAGATGCCTATCTTCCTGTTATTTAGAGGTTTGTTAATTTTGTCTCTCTCTCCATCCTCTCTTTCAGCCCAGGGCACAGAGACTCTGGCAATTGTGCACATACAGGATGGCTCCCATTGACAACTGGATTGTTGGGAGCCTGTAGAGGGTTTCTGTTATTCGATGTGTGTGTCTGTGTGCGGTTGTAGCTACCGTCCTGAAAGCAAACTGGGAATAGTATTAGTTGGATAGGCAGCATGTGAAGGATGCACTTCCATGGCATGGGAGGAAGCAGGAGATAAAGGGGGAAGTGCTGCTCAAGGGGCAAGGAGGTGTTTTGGAGTGTAGGGGTCAACGGAGCATGGTACTATACCTTCTTTAAACTGGTGTGTAGGAAACAGCTTTCACTGGTTTGTTGCTTATGGAACAATTTAAGAGGAGTGCTCTCACCTGCTAAAGCATCAGTTTGGAGAGTAGTTTGTTGAACTTAAAATTTCCATTGTACGTGTGGAACAGTGAGTAACTCGAGCATTTCTCTGTGCAGGATAGCATTTTAATTTTAGTTAAAGTATTTAAGATCTCTGTGAAAAATGCAAATTATTCCCCTCTGATCTGCTCACATTCTGTTCTATGTGATTTGCAGTGCGCTCTGCATTACTTGCAGAGAGGAAGAAACCCTTTTCCAGGTAATTTGAGTAATGGGAAATAGGTCTCCATTAGTTGCATAGCTACTGGTGAAATGCTTAACATAGTTGTGGGATTAGTCTAAAACATGGATTGAGATGTGCTGGGCTGTGCATTTGTGACGTGATGAAGTCATCAAGCCCTGGTCTAAGTATGCACCTCTACGCTGTGTCATGTGTCAGCTCTTGAAGCATCCCATGGGACAGCTTCGGTTCTGCCTTTCTGCCAGCAGTGTGCAGTTGGCTATTTTGTGTGAGGGTCGTTTGCAGTTACTGATCATGGAGTGTGGGTTTGGCGATGTTCCTGCTGCTGAGCAAAACAATGTTTTTGGGGTTTTATTATTCAGAACTGTTGGATATCACCATGAGCTCTTCTTTGGTAAACTATTCATCTGTGATAAACTTTCTTTAAATCCATGCCAGATTTTACAATCAATAAACTGTAGTTACATGAAAAATTGAGTTAATGCTCACTTGAGGTAGAAAATGTCTGTGAGAATATATGCGCATATGTGCACACAAAAAAGTGGTTAGAAAAATTATGTGAACTATGAAGATTTGTAATCGTCACCTGAAACCCATGGAATTAAAGACAAGGTTATATTTTCAAGAGAGATTGACATTTCCTTTAGTTTTCAATTTTAATTTTCAGTCACAGTGTTCACAAATGTAAGATTTTTGCAACGGCCTCAGCCAAAGTACCTGAAGTGAGGGGTAGCTGGTTGTCTTGGGAGTAATGAGAGAGGTGGGGGGAAAGAACTCGTCCTTTCTTCAGGTGATGGAGCCTTGAGGTGAGAGGTGGCCATTGAGCTTGGAGGCACCTCGAAGCTTCCACATCCTCCACTGCAGCACCCTTGCAGGGCATGGGTGGTTCTGCTGTGGGAGAAAAGATTTCTCTTTACTCTGCTGATCTGTAAATTGCTTAATGCCTGTCATTGTATGTTCAGTCAGCAGTTGTTATTGCTGAAGCCGCCAAATATCTGTTTGGTTTTGTGACTTCTGGTAGAGTTGGTCATAGTAATGTTGAGCCTGTTGTTTCCCGTTTGGTGTGCTGCACAGAGCGGGTGCTTGGGAGTGGAAATTTAGGATCTGGTTACTTGGGTATTTTAACCATTTCTGGGAACTTTGTTTTCTACAAACCAGATGTCCAGTCTAAATTCCTTAGGTGAGATCAATCGTTCTTCAGTCTAAAGCCTGCAGGGAAGTGACATTTAAGAGGAACCGACTCTTGCAGTCAGGAAGAAAGTTTTGGAGTCACTCAGATGCGTGTTAGTGTGTGTGAAGAGAGCTGATGATCAGTCTGAGAGGTCTGGAGCACAGAATGCACAAAAATATAAAAAATCGGGGGTAGTATTTCTATGCTTTATTAGCCCTGGTTACACTATGTATGGTTGAATAACCCAAGACGTGCACTGTTTTGAATATTGGCATTGCAACCTCATCACACATTACTTCAACCACGACCGTGTTGAGACTTCATTGTCAAGGTGTCTTTGCAACTCATGGCATATGACGCATTTTTTTGGAAAGACAAGACCTTGGGGAAATTTCCACTCTTGGGATTGTAATCCCTGGGATTCTTGACTTGTGACCGCTCTCCTAAGGCAACTCAGCCCTGTTGAAGGCACATGAGGGCACTTGGGCTGTTTGCAGTTAGCGAGGGCTGCAGGTCCTGCTGGGCCATTTGCCCAGCGCTCGCTGCTGTGCTCTTGTGCCTCCCGCAGCAAGTCGCTGGGCTGTTAATTCCAGGGAGACCTACGGATAACGTGAGCTGTAAGCAGTAGTCTGAAAAAATCTGTGTCTGGAGCTTGAGTAGTGTTACACGGGGATTTGGAAGAGGTGCTGTAGGACGTGATGGGTGAACGCTCTGGTGTCTCCCTGGCCACCCTGGAGATAAGAGGGGAGTCGTTAACCCGCATGGTGCAGCTTTTGAGGAGCAGAGGCCCTGGGGGGTGTCTTCCTTTGGGCTGGGGAGGAGGTAACAGCGTCTCTGATACTGACTGCCCTTTTGACGAGCATTTCAGGGAGATTGAGGCTAACAGCTTCTGTAGTTGTCTCTATTTACAAAAGGCTAGCCCCGCTAAACACCCATTCAGTGGTGGAGCATCATGCTGATGTGTTCACTGCATATTACCTGAGTTGTGCCCAGGGGCTATGGGTGTTTTGCTCCAAACACAAATGAGCTGGGAAATCTGGAGGGAAATCGTCTTAAATTCAGTAGATAGTCTTGGAAGGAATCGTTGTTAGATCTGGGCGTAAGAGAAATCTGTAACGTGCAAGGTCAGCAACCAGAGAGCAGGTGGCTGCGGCGGGGAGGTGAATTCAGCCCTCTTTTTGCCTTGCTTAAGGTTTAGGATTTGGCTTCTGGAGTATTGGGAGATAAAGACCAAGTCCATTCAAGACTCTTGAGCTTCTGTTTCCTTACCTGTAAAAAGGAATATTTAAGCTTGGAGCTCAGTAATACCAAATTATTTATATGGCACTCCTTGATGCTTCTCTGATGATTTTTTTTTTTTTTTTTTGGAAGGCGCTACCTTGGGTACAGAACCTTTTTTCCTGTAACTTAAGATGTTTATCCTGCTTGGAAATATTACTGACCTGTTTGGCTTACTATATATAAAGTTTTGTTGAGGGTATTCTAGGATAATATAGGCATAAAAGACCAGGAAGTAGAGAAAAAGATAAGAGAGAAAGAAAGAATGAAACTATTTGTGTTCTAAGTAAATGGGCAGTACCTTGAAGCTGAGCTGGAGGGGAAGAGGAAAGATCGCATATTGCTGGTGAGAAGTGGCTGGATTTTGATAAGAAAGAAGAGGAAGCAAGTAAAAAAACCAGTGTGATCAAAGTGGAAATAACCTGATCAGAGGGAGAAGGAAGATCATATGCTTTGCTTTCCAGGCTGACAATAGAGCTCCATTTGTTTTCCGAAAGTGAGTTTATGGCCTTCAGATTGCACTAATACATGTTGCTTATACTGGCATGGATTTTGTATTTCCTTGCTTAAAATCCTGGTTTTAGTAGGGACATTTGAAATACTGCTTGTGCCAAGAAATTAATTTGGTATGGTGTCTTTAACAGGTATACACGTGAGGTTTTGATTTGACTTTTAGCAGTTCATCTTTTAAAGTCTTTTTTTCTTTTTGTCAGATTATGTCTACTTCGAAAATTCTTCAAGTAACCCATATTTGATACGAAGAATAGAAGAGCTCAATAAGGTAAACAGTTTTTCTATCAAGTCTTGGAAGTTAATTGAATTTATGATCTGTTTGATTTGATTAAAATCAAAACAATTCTTCAGCAGTTCTCTGGTAATTAGAAGCTTGAAAATACTTTTGTTCTGATATTTTTTTGGAATGCTTTGAGACCTGCTAGATTGCTCTCCTTTGGTATGAGAGGACTGAGCGTCAGTGGTAGGTCATTCTCAAGGTGATTATGCTCACCTGTAAGGCAGGAGATTTCTGCAGTTCTTCAATTCCATGCCGGGATCATGAGATATGAAGATAATACAACAGTTTGCCTAGAGGATGGAGAGCTTTGTAATTTGGTCTTTCTTGGGGGAGACTCTTGCGCAACAGGAAGGTTTGAAGCTTTTATCTGCTTCCTCAGACTTTGTCCTTGCTGGTTGTCCTTTGGGCCAGTGTATTATTTCATCTGCCAAATTTCCCTTTCATTGGATCTAAAAGGGAAGCAAGATACCTTGTATGTGGGAAGCCAGCTGAAGTCCTCGATGCTGAAATTTTACCTAGTTAAGGAGGAAAGACTGTTCTGAAGCCGTTAGCTGTGTCCTAAACATGCCACTTTCTCAGGTTTAATACCAGCGTGTCCATTGCAGCCCATACAGAAGGAATGTAACATTGCTGTTTTGGATTTGAATCTAAATTAACTGACTAAAATTAGGTTTTTTTTCTTCAGTGATGGAAAAACATGTCTTTCTGAAACAATTACTTGGAAGAGAAAATTTATCAATATAATGACAAATAAAGAATCTGTGAAGGCTGGGACATCCTTGTAACCCCTGCTTTTTAGTGGAGGTCTTTTGCAGAAATACTTTGTCTCTCTTCCATTAAGGAAGCAAGAGTGAGTTCCTAAAATATTCCTGGTGGGTCCATAGCCGTGCAGTATCAATGGCTGTATTCCATCAGTTACAGGGTGGAGATTTGTGATCACTTTCTAGGAAAGTGTTGTTTTCCCCTCTTCTTCTCCCTCATTCTTCCCCTGCTTTGAAAAAAGAACTTTCAGCCTTGATCTCTCATCTTATTGGAACTCTTGCTTGAGCTGTCATTTCTCTGACCTACTCTTTGAAACGGGTCTTTCAGGTTGAAATGAATCATGTATCTTGTGTTGCTTTGTTTTTCACTGAGTGTAAATGAAGCCTGGGCAATTAGATGAAGTAGATAATTCTACATTGTAGCTGTCTGTATTTTAACAAATATGGCTCCTGCCTTTGTATTTTAGTTCCTCAAAATTTAAAAGTTCTGAATTATTTAACAGAAAAGGATAGAAATTCTGCAGGCTCCCTACCAAAAACTGCTGGGCTGCAAGGGGAAATATTTGTGCATGTATGTATTGCCTGATTATTTTTTTTTTTCTTTGTGTAAGGAAAACTGGTATTATAAAAGATGAAACTTCTCCTCCATTCACATATTAGCAACAAGCATGTATATCAGTTTTTATTTTGTTTCCTTGTGGACAGATTGCTGGTCCACTACCTTTTTTTGCAGACTTCCTGGAGGGGAATTTTTATCTTAGTCTTATAGTTTCTTAAACTGTGTGCCATCATTATGCTTTTAAGGACTCTGCAGTAGTAGGATACAACTCTCTTCAGTTACATTTTCATTATTTGTGAATTTATTTTAGAGACAGTAGATTGGCTGAGGCTGTTACAAACCAGTTGGTGTATTTCCCCTAGAGTTTGTATAAAGCCAGTTTCACAATTTGGCAGATACCATCTTACAAGAGATTCATCACCTACCTCATTTTAAGAGTTTTAAGAAAAAAATCCCAAACCTTTCAAAAATTCAGACTTTTTTGTATGTTGTCACTGGTGTAGAGTTTATTGCCTGGTGCAGCTTCCTTGGTTCTCCTTTTGGAATTATTTTTTTGTGTTAGTCGTTGTTTAGCTCACTGCTGTCAAGAGAAGGAAAACCTTATGTGATTCCTTTTGTGAAAGTAATAATGGCTGGGTTCTTCTTGCTTTCCTATTTTCCTACAGAGTTTGGAGAACAGCTTAAATCTGAATTCTGTTGCTATATTTCGTAGTTACTTTTATTAGGATTTTAAAGATGCTTTTGAATTCTACTAAATGTAGGCATCACCTGAAAAGTAGCGAAGTGGCTTGTTAATATGTTGTAACTGCAGGTAAGTGTTTTTTCTCACCCCTTGAAACATCTGTAACTGCCAAAAACAGTGATCCCACAGAAACAATTAGGGAAACAGGCCAAACTCTGTTTCCCTACCCTGGAATGGATCACACCGGAGTTTGTGTGTTAGATAATGTGTGCAGCTGGAGGGAGCTAAAAGGTGATGCTATGTAGCTCTTGTGCAAAATTCCAAATTATTTATGAAGTTTCCTAGTTCGGCGCATACAGTTCAGTTCTTGGTCTGTGCTCATTTTTTTTTCTTTTTTCCTGTTTCAGACTGCCAATGGAAATGTGGAAGCAAAGGTCGTATGTTTCTACCGAAGAAGAGACATATCAAGTACACTTATTGTATTGGCAGACAAACATGCAAGTAAGCTTGTTTGTGTTCAGATTGCTTCTACACAAAATTGCCAAACTTGGATAGAACTTTGATATTGCAGTTACAAGTATCAATATTACTATTTTTAAATGTCCTTTTCCTGTACTCATCTTCAGCAAATTGCATTACTTGTTTGGGTGACTTTTCTCTCTCTTGCTCACCCCTTAAACCTTTTAAAACCTCATTTGCTGTATGGTTTGGTTATCATGGTAGGGACAGGACAGAAGTTTTCAGTTAGGGCTGGATAAAGGTGTCTTATTTGCTTCATAGAAGTGAATTTCTTAATTTTTGGGATGAGGGAAAGTATTCTCCCTATCTCATATATTACTTCCCATGAATGATTTGGTTTGGTTAGCAGATCAAAAAAAAAAAACCTCAAACTTTCTTTATGAGTAATTCAAATAGTCTGATCATAGGAACCGACTTGAAATATGGCCAGCTTGAAACTTGGCTAACAGGAATTCTCTTTATGTTTCAATATTAGTAATATTTTTTGTAGTGACGTAGCTTTTGTCTGAACGTGCTCAGTAAATGCATTTTAAAAGCACTGAATTTTAGGACATCCTGTCACTATTTTGAATACTTCAAGTCCTTTTGTTAGGAAAAAAAGTGATGTCTAGGCTGAGAGGAGACTTGAAAAGTATAATTTTTTTTTTTTAGTACTGTACTTTCTGATTTAAAAAAAAAAAACATGAAGCTAAACTATCATAAAATTTAGGGGGTTGTTCATGCTACCTTACTTCGTCCTCCTTTGCACGTATGCGTTGCGTAAGTGATTTATTGATTTTTACTATTTTACAGAATGTTAACTTATGTTGGCATGTATTCCTCTGCCAAGGAGGTCAGAGGCATGTGAGATACCTAGCTGAGTAGAGATGGAAGATTATTTCTAAACAAAAATTTAGTGTTACAATTCTCTTTCAATTATAGAAACGGTTTTAAAATTCTAAAAAGTGCATACAAAAATAGTTATGTGTCAGTATAGATTAGATGTTTGCCTATATAAATCTGTAAGGCAAGGTATTGCAAAAAAACCTCAGATAATTTAAAAAAAAAAAACCACACAAAATAGCTGGGAAGCTGCTGTAGATCTGTGCATTCTAAACTTAGAAGGGGGTGAGCATGGTGCCCTAGCTGGCTCTCAAGGGGAGTATCTATGTCCAGGGGAGAAATAGTGCAATAGTATTACATGTCATTGGGTACTTTATCTGGGGTGCTTCTAGCCTGTTTAACTCCATTCTAGTTGCCAGCGAGGATTAGATTTGGGTTCATTACACCTTCCTCTGCCAGTTCAGCATCCCTCTCATCCCACCCTTGCGAGGTAATGGACACGGTACTAACAAAACAGACAGTTACCAAAACAGACATGTTGAAAGGGAGAAAAAGAGTAAGCAGGTGGAGTTACTAAACTGTTTTTACTTACAAACAGTGGAGTATGTGAGATGTAGCTGTTCAGATTGCTTAAAATTTAGCAAACAGCATGGACAGCCATATCAATCCTTGTAATTCAGGGCTTTCCTGTAGGCACATATATAAACGAAAAAGAAGCAATCAGATCTGGGCATGTCAAAATTATGATTTAGCTGCCAAGCATCATTGGCTTCTAATGTGCTTCTTGGTATATATGTGAATAGACTGTGATGTATATGTAAGACAGACGTACATAGTTGTACTGCATGGGGATTGATTAAATCAGATATTCAGTTTTAACAATGAATATAATGTCTTGCTGTGTTCTCAGTGCTGTAGTGCTATTGGGGAAAACATGCAGCAAAACTAGCCCCTTATTGATAAGTCTGAATATTTTCTGTTGTAGATTCAAGTCCAAGTCAGTCCCTCCATTGCAACCATACCTTGGGGAAAAAAAGTCTTACGGCATTGAGATGAGATTTGGCTGTGTTGCAGAATTGTGGTAGCAGGCAAAGCTTTTTTGATCTCTCTTCAGTGCAGCAGTACTCATTTTATCCGAGAATACTGAAGCTTAATAAGAGCTTCACCATAAACAACATGACTATTGATTCCTTCATCTGTGTCTCACTTCACTAGATTTAGTAAAGGAAGCAGGTAGGAATGATTCAAAGAAACGCATATCTGAGGCTGGAAATTAAAAATATTTGAACCTGTATAAATGCTCTTTGAACCTGCAAAGGCTGATTTCTTTTTGTGATAAGAAATTTAAGATTTTTTTTTTTTTAAATGCAAACAAAGAATTCATTGTTCATATGAATGTGTTTGAAAGACAGGAAAATTCTTCTATAGACTCCTATTAACAGAGCCACCAGAGACAACTGAGGCTGTCTCTTAGTGTAAATTTCATTAGTAACTAACATTTTTTCCAGTATGTTTCTTTCTGGTGCAGAATAAAATTGCTACTAAATGACTTCCATTTATTTAGATAGATGTGCTGTTGTGGGGCTTCCGTTCTTCTTAGGGAGGGAGAAGAGAGTAAAATTAAGCTTTTGGACAGTCGTTAGTTCTTTACTCTGAAAAAAAAAAATCTACATCCTGCATGATATAATGAAATGAAATTTTGTGGATGTTAAGATCCTAGTACAGATACTCAACACTGTCACTGACTTTGAGTTCATTTCCATAAAGTCTCCTGTTGCCTCATTTTGATGCATTTGCAGTAGGTGTACGTATCTGCATCGCTGATCTTTTAACTGCCTTTGTTCAGCTGATTAATGGAGCTTTCTGACTGCAGACATTTCTGGATTCAGAGAGTCTTCGTTTAAGATGCCTTTATTTTAGACCTACTGTTGAGATCAATGCAGTGAAAGAACCAAATAATGGGAAGATATGGCCAGAACATGAATGGAAAAAGTATATGTGTATTTTGTAATATTTTTTCTCTTCCAATAAAGGAAGGAAAAAATGTGATCGAGAAATGAATGTTGCAACGTTTAAAAAAAAAAAAAGCGCTTACGTTTTAGCTTGTATAATCCATCAGATTATACAAACAGAAACAGACAAGTCTGAGGTCTGAGATATGTTGTCTTTTCTCATAAATCTTTGTAAAGAGAAATGAGTTGGAAGCACCTTATTCTGTAGTTGGTGACTGTAAATTAGTACCTGATGTATGCAACCTGATTCTTGGATTTGATCTGTGATCTCACTATTTTTATCATATGATATAAAGCTTGTCTGGGCTGTCCTATAAATCTTTTAGCCTTATAATGGCTTCCATACATTGTTAGCACTTTTTATTCATAAGCCTCTTTAATCACCTCACAAATTATTCTAGGGAATTTCTCCACCTGTTTCTGAAATGAACCTGCTTCACCAGTAGGAGACTATTTAATATTCTTGCCCAGAGACTTTGTAGTGGTTTAAGATAGAATATTGTATGCAAACAAGATTGCAGGCAGAACTTGATGGAAGAGAAGTGAGAAAGATAATTTACTCCTCAAGCTATCGTTGGATGCGGTGGCTATGTATTTTCTTCCTATGTATGTATATAATGTCTTATATAGTTTCTTATATAATTAAGTAAATATTTCCAAGAGCAGGAATACAACCTCCTGTCCCCACTTCTAACCACCCACCCCCAGCCACCTCCAGTTACTTGTGATCTGTCTGATGACCATAGTTTTTGCTTCATTAAAAACATTTATCCTGATCTGTAAAACAATGAGGTGACTAGTTGGTAGTGGTTGGAGGACTGAGTAGTTAGCGCCAGCCGGTTTGGCAGGTTTATGGTTAGCATTCAGCAGCTGATGTTTGGGTGCCAGGCACACATGGCAGCATGGTTTTGTAAGTGCCAAAGCTTCTAAAAATAAATGTCTTGCAGCGGTGAGGTGTCATTACTCAATCAGTCCATGAGTTGCATGAGACCTGTGTGCCTAAACAGGTAGGGGGTCTATTAAGTTTGGTTTGGTTTGGTTTTTGGTTTTTTTTTTTTTTTAAATTTTAGATAACACCAGTCTAAATACAGTTTGACAATAGCTTCACAGATGAGTTCTTTTTACTTTTATTTATTTCTTCCATTTTATTCCTCTTCTCCATTTTCTCCCAACACCACACATGCAGATTTAAGAGGAGTCGAATTCATTAATCCCCTAATGACACTTTTTGCTCTGTTGTTACTGAGAGGAGAAGACTCTGATTTTTCTCTTCTGGGGGTGGTACAGTGAGGAAAGATAAGCTAAGTGTTCAAAATAGTGTTTGTTTGCTCTGTATGCTACCTGTAATAATGGCCATGTCTGCAAAAGATAATCACAAAAAGTTTTGGAAGGGATTGTAGTGAGATTTCTTGATAAGGTAGCACACTCCTGAAGTGTCAAGGTATAAGGATTTCTTTTTGTTAAAACTTTAACCATATTTTCTATAGCTATGAATCAATATCTGGTTTTTGGTAGAGGGAAAATGAATGAGGTTGATGCTAATATAGACCATTTGAAACTGGACCTGGGAGAAGGAATGTGGTGTTGTATTGTTCATTTCTTCAAATGCAACACTTCTATAATGTCCTTCCAAGCTGCTTAGTTGGGCTATTAAAGTACCAAGAGTTTAAGCTTCCTTCACTGCTGAAGGAACTGTAGTACAATAGTCAATAATCAATTGACTGTTGTACAATTGTCAGTAGCACTGGCTTTATTGTGTTTCCCAATGTTTTGACCCCATTTATTTCCTTTTTTCTTTACATTTTGTTGTTAGTAATACCATGCTAACTAATTGTAATAGTAGTTGACGCGCCTGAGGGACGGGATGCCATCCAGAGCGACCTGGACAAGCTTGAGAAGTGGGCCCACGTGAACCTCATGAGGTTCAACAGGGCCAAGTGCAAGGTCCTGCACCTGGGTCGGGGCAACCCCCAGTATCAATACAGGCTGGGGGATGAAGGGATTGAGAGCAGCCCTGCCGAGAAGGACTTGGGGGTACTGGTGGACGAAAAGCTGGACATGAGCCAGCAATGTGTGCTCGCAGCCCAGGCGGCCAACCATGTCCTGGACTGCATCAAAAGAAGTCTGGCCAGCAGGTCAAGTGAGGTGATTCTGCCCCTCTACTCCACTCTGGTGGGACCTCACCTGGAGTACAGGGTCCAGTTCTGGGGTCCTCAGTTCAGGAAAGGCATGGAACTGTTGGAGTGAGTCCAGAGGAGGGCCACAAAAATGATCAGAGGGATGGAACGCCTCTCCTATGAAGAAAGGCTGAGAGAGTTGGGGTTGTTCAGCCTGGAGAAGAGAAGGCTCCGGGGAAACCTTGTTACAGCCTCTCAATACTTAAAGGGGGCTTATAAGAAAGATGGGGACAGACTTTTTCATGGGGCCTGTAGTGATAGGACAAGGGGTAATGGTTTTAAACTAAAAGAGGGTAGATTTAGATAAAATTTTTCTAAAAAAATTTCAGAAATTTTTTACGATGAGGGTGGTGACACACCACAGGTTGCCCAGAGAGGTGGTAGATGCCAACATTCAAGGTCAGGTTGGACGGGGCTATGAGCAACCTGATCTAGTTGAAGATGTCCCTGCCCATGGACTAGGTGACCTTTAAAGGTGCCTTCCAACCCCAACTACTCTATGATTCTAATTCTTCTGTTACTACAGACTGTCTCCCAAGCTGCACATCCTAATGTGCTCTCTAACCTAATTCCAGTGTCTTGTTTGCCTTTGTGCATTTCCGAATTCTGCCATGTAGCTACTTGTATGACACCCAGAATGCAGAGAAAGGGCTGGTTCTTTCTACCTCTGATGTTGTACAGAGCCCAGTCTGATCTATAGCAAATTGCTGTTCTTTCTAGTGTTTAGCAAATATTGATGTTTAATTTCTCATCTCACACACCCAGTCATTTTAAATTGCAATTACTGCCTCTTGGGTTTCTCCTTCCAACTCAAAGTTTACTCTTTCTAATTATTTTTCCCCATATATGTTAGCTTTCACATGAATCTTGCTGTTTGTGTCCAATCTGCCTGTCTCTTGTTCCCAATATAAGTCGTCTTCAACCTTTGTTAATGTGTTATTAATGATTCTGTTATCAAATATCAAATAATAATCTAATACACTCCTTGCAGCATTCCACTGGCTACTTCTGCATAGCTGATATATTACTGTTTGTATTAAGACTAAATGTTTAGTTTTAAATCTGCACAACCACATCTATCAAGCCAAAAGATTAATTTTGAAGTAAGGCTTTATGAGAGCATTGAAGTCCCAGTATACTGCACCTCCTGTATTCCCATACCACTTATTCTGTAGTACTGTCGTAAACGCAGGCTAGTCTTTCTGAAAAGATTTTTATATTTATATATATCTAAAAACATATGTTGGTTTTGTGGTTTGTTTTTTGTTTTTTTTTTTTTGTTGTTGTTTTTTTAAAAGACTATGGTCCTTATTTCTCAGGGGCCACCATTCTCCAGGATGAAGTTTGCTTCAGTTAGAGCGTGAGTGCTTGAGCTATAGGAGGGTTAAATGCAGATGTGTCAGGCTTGTCCTGGAACCTGAGGCTGGGCCAGCCCCTGTTGTGGTTTACAGCCTGACTTAAGCCTTTGCCGTCTGCGCAAAGGTGGTGAGGTGGTATTAGTTACGGTTTTTGTAAAAGCCACTTTTGCTTGACTTCAGGGAGACAGAGAGGTTCCTGTGCGGGATCCAGCTCTGGATTCTCTCCTCCTTCCCTTGGTTTCGAATGCATTTGCCAGGTTCATTTTTTTCAGTGCTAAATCATGGCTGTGGAAAAGGAGGGAAGATGCTTGTGTAGATTTGTTTGTTATTTCTTGGAATATTCCTATCTCTGTCTTCAGGAACTATGACAATTCTACGCCTGTGTGAGGGGGGAGTTGTTTGTTACCTGTACAAACATCTGTCTTTTAAAAAAAAAAAAAAAAAAAGCTTTTTTATTTTGAAAGGCTGTGCGTAGCAGAGCTGGCATAAGAAGAAAATATGTGCTTCCCACCTTCCTTATTTTATTACAAAAGCTAGACACATAAATAAAACAGTAGTTGGAAGACGAGCTTAGCTGAAGGGATGCGGTTCCTGAGATTAGCTTGGTTGTGCTGGGTGGTTTGATTGTAGATTTGATTGGCACATAGTGGTTAATATATTTTTTTTAAAAAAATGTAATTTTTAAAAGCTCTAGGCTATTAAATACACTGAAGATATTAAGTATTTTAGGTTGCTCCTTATAGTATTTTTCCTCCATTACACAGTGCACTACTCGTACTCTCCAAAAACTCTTTTAAGTGCAGACATGAATGCCTTTTCATTTGTGCATCCTTCAGTTTTTAGGCAAGCTAGCTTGGAACTTGCTGACTTGTTTGTGGATTACTGCTGGTATATTTATAGTGCAGGTCAGCAGCCACAATATTAATTTTCAACTAAAACAGAATCCACTCCAGTAAATAAATTGCAGAACCATGAAACTGTGGCACAAATGTAAATTTGGTGTTGTAGTTCCTAGGAAGATATTGAAATGTAAGTGCATGCTGCTGTATGCTTAACAGCTCATGTGGTGTAAGAGCTATTGTGTGTTGCATTCTATTTAATTATGCTACTATTTTTTTCCTTCTTTGCTGGAGCAGCTTACCTGAGGGGCATATAAACCACAAGTCTTTTTCCAGGACAGTAAAACAGTGATAAATTGTGGGGAACCTGAAGGGTACATAATTTTTTGTCACCCCCTTTGGCATAGTGGTGGCCTATTTAAAACTAAATGCAATTTTAGCATTTTATACAATGGAGATGTCTCCTTTCTGTTTGCTTTCAAGATAACTAGGAGGATTAGAGTTAACTAATCTTAAGGGTATATCAATCATAACTGTGCCTGTATGTGTTTCTGACTAGAAATGTTTCTTGGCAACAACTGTTGAATTAAGCTGCAGGCATAAGTCTGCTCTTTAAAAGACTACTGCTGCCGTAAAATTAGTGTTTTACTACTCATGTATGAGACTTTACAGCTCATTCTACTACAGTCTGGGAAACTTTTCCTGTGATTTTGGAAAAAGCAGTAACTGCCTTAATTTTGTAGGAAAAAGTCTGATGTTTCCTTTCGCAGTCCTTCATCATGGAGAAGCTTTGCAGCTTTCTTGGAGTATTTTGCCTTCTACAGCTTTATCTTGCGTAATTGACAGGATGCTTGCTAATAAACATAAAACATACTAATAATTTATTTCTTACAAGAAAGGTGCCTAGAGATGTTTTGGATCAGTTGTGTATCAGTGTGGATGTGATTTCATGTATTTACTTTGGCATTCATTTAAAAACTGGTTGGATGGAGACTGAATAGCTCAAAGCCAGAGATGGTGGATCCTGAATGCAGAATAAAGCAAGCTTTTGAAATGCAGGAGTATTGCTGTCGAATGGGTGTGGTGACATAGGGTAGGGCGGCTTGCAAGACTGGCCTTAGGCACTTGGTTAGATTCCAGTTAATCTTGTGACTGTGATCTATTGGCAGTGGTCGGGGTGAAGACAATAAAGTACACTAAATAAATAAGCTAACCTTTTCAGTGGGCATTTCCTGCAAAAGCTGTTGAAGTCGGGATGGGACAGTCTATGATATCCTGGAAGAGGAGCTGGGTCTAAGATAGCTGATGCCTGGCAAAGAGGCACTTTTACTGCCTCACTGATCTTGCGTCAGCTTCTTCCTGATGAATCTAACGGTGCAGTGATGGTCTCCAAGAGCAGCTCTCTTCAGAGCTTGTCTGTTGGTAGCTGATTTGTGTGACTTTCAGCTTGGTGAGCCAGTGTGACCTGTGTGTACCTGGAGTGCTTTGATCCCAGTGGTGAATAAATACAGTTCTTCACAGGCATCATTTAAAGGATCTATACTAATTGTCTAATTGTTCAGTTGGCTGAAATGTGAGGATTCAGATGAAGTTAGATTTAATCTAAATAACGTGTATTATTTAGCAAAGGTTTTGGAGCAGCTTATCCTGATTGGCTCAGAATCAATACTTGCACTGTTCTTGACGATCAGTTTTGTCTCTTTGTATCTAGGAGAAATGGAAGAAGAGATGGAAAATCCCGAAATGGTTGATTTACCCGAGAAACAGAAGCATCAGCTACGACATCGTGAGTTGTTTCTCTCACGACAGCTGGAATCTCTGCCAGCCACACACATTAGGTAATGGCTGTTTTCTTCCAGTGCTTTTTATTCAAAAACCAAATGGCATTATTGTTATTCAAGTATTCTTCAATGTAAGATTAAATGTGTACAACTTCAGTAATACCATCTTGTGAATCACATGAGCATTTAAGATGTTTTTTCATAAAATGTGTTTCTCTTTTTTTAGAGGCAAATGCAGCGTTACTCTGTTAAATGAGACAGAATCCCTTAAATCATATCTGGAACGGGAGGTATGAACCATTTTGTGAATTGTCAAGCTTGAACAGTTTATTCTGGCACAATTTAGGATTAGTGGCTTTTCACAAGTTTTCTAAAGAGGAGGTGGTTCTTTCATTTCTGCATGTACTGTATGGGCATTGACAGTGGAAGCTTTAGGCTCCACACAATTTTCATTCTGATATAAAACTTGGTGGATCTAGACGCCAGAGCTGCTGTTTACATCCTTGTGTGACAGTAAGCTGCCTCTCCTTCTATACAGAGAGCCCTACTTCTCATCAGCCTGGCAGTCTGAAAGTTCAAACCTGGAGCCTCATGCCCCAGACAAGACAGGGTGGGAGACGAAGTAAATGTGAAGAGGGAGCAAGCCAGCAAGCTGTATTTCTATGTATTTGCTCTATCCTGAAATCTTACAGATTTATGTTAATATGGTTTAAGCTTGATTTCACCTCAGATTTCTGAGGAGCTTAGTTCCCTATTTTTTTGAGTTCACTGTTGTTTACCTGTAGTCTTCATATGCCACCACAGACACTTGGGTCCTTGAAAAACTACTTGTCAGTTAACTTCTGAGTCCTGCAGAAATTTTCACAATCTGGCTATTTAAAGGTACCTCAAACCAAACACTTGAAATGGAATTGTGTTGCACTGTTAATCATTATTCAGAATATAAATCTTGGGTTTTACTTTTTCAGGTATTTTGGGATTTTAAAAATTACAATTGTAATTTTTAAAAATATATTTTTGTACCTTTAATTGTGGCTAGACCTCTGGCTGCCAGCTGGGTTAGACAGTCATGGAATTTGACAATCTGGGAGCTTTACTTTGGGAGATGAGCAAACATTTTCACTATATTATTATTTGAATACGTCTGCAAGCATTACCTTTGCATTTGAAAAAATCAAAATGTTATACAAGAGAATAAATCTTGTAATTAAAAACAGTAGGGTAATGGTCATTACCAGCCTTTAAGAAACAAGAAAACAGGTCATTTATTGCAAGGAGCATACTGTAGTCTGTCTCATAGTTGGGCTTTCTTTTTAAATGCTTTTTTAGCTTTCTTCAGTATTTATTTAAACACAAGATTAATTTTAATCTGATACTCTAGTTTAAGAGAATTTTAAACAAAGCACAGGGATTAAATAGTTGAGTTTCTCTTTGGAATGTGAAACCAAAAACATGTCGAGTCTGCTCAGGGCTGCCAAATGGCAGCGCATCAAACAAGGGCCGTTGTATTGAGGAATGCTTGTTACCAGCTAGCAGCCTAGGATATGCCAATTTGAAAGCAGAAATTAATCAAAACTGAAATTAATTTAGATTTACTAGTACCCAACTTTTTGGTAGTATTCATTCTCAATTGCTCCCCGCGTTTTTTTTATTATCACTAATGTTACAGGTAGGTACATGGAGACAGAGAAGGCTTTCTCTGGTCATGCAACAGCTCAGTTGCAGATGTAGGAACAGAAAGAGATTTCTCTTTTTCATCCTTTTGAACTCTCAAAATGCAAGATGAGTGATGCGGGTTATTTTTAAAACTGAGCAGGCACTTAGAGATTTCACAGAATGAGAGAGTTCTCCGAATGTGTCCTGTCACTTAGCACGGTATTTTGCTGTGGTGCAAACTAACTTGGACAGATGGTAAAGAAATTAAAAGCTCAGGAACACAAATGTGCTTGGGAGGAGGGTAAAGAGATTAAGAAAAGGAGATAGTTGTTGCCTGGTGAATTCACAGCACTGGATGGTACTGTTTTGAACTGCTGCTTCTTTTTTTTCCTCCCTGTTCTTAATCCATTCTTTGCTTTCAAAATGTTTTGGGTTTTTTTTTTTTAATGGCTTCTGTCAATAAAGCCTAAGCAATTCTAGGGAATCTGTCATTTGATTTCTTGTGTGTTATGACCACTAAAAGTAGGTTTTCAGCCCAAGGCTGTCTGTCTCGAAAGGAGGTTAAACATGCAGACAGAAATTTTTAGGGAGATAGTAAGCATAGCAAAATTACATTTGTGTTATCTCTGTTTTCCTCCTTCCACCCTCTCTCTGTCATCTTCCTCAGGAAGATTGTTCTGTTACATTTGGAGAGGGATTGAAGGGGGAGCAGCGGTGACTTTTTTACTGTGCCTGGCAAAATTGGGTTTATAGCAGGAAGGTTAAACATGCAGACAGAAATTTTTAGGGAGATAGTAAGCATAGCAAAATTACATTTGTGTTATCTCTGTTTTCCTCCTTCCACCCTCTCTCTGTCATCTTCCTCAGGAAGATTGTTCTGTTACATTTGGAGAGGGATTGAAGGGGGAGCAGCGGTGACTTTTTTACTGTGCCTGGCAAAATTGGGTTTATAGCAGGACTGGGGAGTAAGATGAAAAAAAGCAACTGGAAACCCTGGATTTCCTGTAGATACTGAACTCCCAGGGAAATCAAGAGAAGGACATAGCCAGTTATGGCAAAAGTATTAGATTTCCCTATTCTGCAGGAAACTATTTTATATGTACCATCTATTTTACTGCTCTGCTAGAATATATCCAGAGGCTTGTGTGAATTTTGCCTGCTGGGTAGATGTCTGGCATTTTGGTATCTTTTGGAATCCCCCCAAAAATAAAATGCTATATAGTTAAAATATATTCCCGCTCTTCACCCGAACTGACTTCATGAAAGTAAGTTTGCAAGGTGAATGAACTAACCACTATTTCTGTACTGTACTTTCACTTTGAGCCCATTTTCTTTTTCCAGTTCTGCAGTTTTTTAGTGGCTTTGGTTCTTGGCTATAGCTACAGGTAGTTTAGGGGCTTGGGTAGGGAAGCTCTGAGCATATGTGTCTGTGTAACACTTTGGAGAAGTAGAAAGTCATGGTCTAATTTTAACTCTTGGCAGGTCATTTTAATTTTTCCAAACATGTTGGGTGTTTTCTGGGATCTGAAATTAAAAGAGAAACCCCTTCTTTTTCTTCACTGCTGCAAACTCAGCATACACAGTTTTGACAGCTAAAATGAGCATGGAGAATTTTGAAAGAGCCATGTTGTTTTGTTGTGAACATCACTCTTCTTGTGAAACCCTTCTGAAAAATTGTTCTTATCACGTAGTGGTGATCAAGAGTTCACATGTGCTTTAGACTATACAAGGATCTGCTTTGTTCCTTAGACTATAGTTTGCATTGGCACTGAACTGACATTTATTAATGTTTTCAGAAATCCCACTCAGTTTGCATGAGCTGAATTTCATGCTTCTATGGGGGAAGATGGTAGTGGTATTGCATTACCTCTGGGGATTACAGTCTGTCTTGTATTCACACTTGGGCCCCGAAACTTCCATCTTTTCTCCGTTGAGGAGGCTCTGGTTGGGGAGAAGAGCCCAGAGGCTTTTAATTCTTTCGCTGAGCCTGCTAGATTCGAGACAAAACTGGACGAGATATAAGAAGATGACCTGAGATTGGTACAGAAGGATGGGTTTTATTTTGTAGAGAAAATTCACAGTGATAATCAATAAAAGAGAAGCAATAGGGCATCTAACAGGCAAATACCATGGGAGAAAACCCCTCCACAATGAATGGCTTTCCCTGGCCAAGAAAGACTGTGTTAAGAAATCGCCTGTAGAATTGGCCTTCCTTGGGGCCCACTGTGTTATTATACTAGAGTGTTTGGTTTGTATATTTGCTGGGCAATGTGCCTGAAAAGCATTAATGTTGCATATACTTTGTCCCACAGTTAGGTATTTTGGAGCTGGAACAAATAAAACACTATATTTATAACATGGAAGCTTGTGAGACAAAAGCTTTTCCTAAGTTTTATTTATGCAACAATACATTCTCAAAATATTGTAGTTTCTTGAACTTTGTGTATGTCAGGGAGCAAGAGACCCAGATTTCTTTACACAGCTATAATATAAATGAGTTTTCATATACTCTGAAGCTCCTTTCTGTCAGTGTGTTGATGTAATTTGACCTTGGTGCCTGTGGGAGTAGGAATCAATTCTGTCAAAAATGTCATTCATTTAGGATGCAACCGAATCCCCCCACCCCAAACCCAACCACAGAGAACCCTTCCAGTTGACTTGGCTGGGTGTTGGAACAGCATTTTGCCAAGTGTTAGCTATGACTTTTATCCTGTTATCGTGACATAACATGAGATTGTTCTTGCCCTTGGAGTTCATGCTTTCACGGTGGGGAAATGGCATGTTTTCTGCTGGAGGAGATTGGTGTGAATTCCTGTCTTGCCTCTTGTGCTGTGCTGTGTAGGTGATACCTTTTTGTGCAGTAGCTTTCTCAGGTAGCAAAGCAGGTTTGGCTGGCTTGCTTGGCTCCTTTCTGACTTTTTTCCTCCCTTCCATAGATGTTGATTCCTTCCCGGAAAAATGCTGATTTTTATTAAAATTGGAGCAGAAAATACAGAGTTACCAGTTACCATGTTTAACCCTCTTAAATTGTGTAATTGGATGCTGGATGCATTACACATGTAAAGAAAACACAGGAGACCTTACCTCTGTGGCATCAGTCTTAGATTAATATGTGTAATGTGCAGTGCTGGGGAGCAAAACTAGTATGTACCTTTGAATACCTAGCCCACAGAATTTTTGCTATGTTACTGGGGAAACTTGCAGTGATTCTTCCTTTTTTGGGCTTTGTATGACAGATTGGGAGACTCTTTTTCCCTTGCCACCTCTTCATGAAGATGAACAGGGCTTGAAACTGATGCTGGTTTTGTCCTAATTTTTGTTGCCTGCTGTTGACATATACAAATATAGGGAAAGGGAAAATGAGGTGAGCATGAAATGAGATGTATTTAAACAGGGTGCCTGCTATTAACACAGAAATATGGGGAAAGGGAAAATGAGCCAGAAACCTGAGATGTGAGAAACGGTGCATCGCGCATCCTGTGTTTCTGTTCAGAAACACTTCTCTTTCCTGGTGACGGCGTTGCTGTGGATGGAGGTTACCCCCGAAAGGTCTGTTACTTCATGTCCTACCAGAGCTCTCTTCCTGCCCCATATCCCACGCTACACTTTGATGGAGCATATCTGGTCTCTGATGTGTCACTCAATAGCTATAGCTAAGTACTTATCCATGCAGAAAAGTTTAATTACTTATACTGTGCAGTTTTAAGTAGTTAAAATTTTGGCTGTTTTCTTTCTCCACCCTGGCATGACATTCTCGTTCTGGTATGACTTCTTGCTTTAATTTTACACGCCCAGGTAACGAAGCCAAGCAGCTTTTTTAGCCTTTTTCTCATCTTTTGAACAAAAGCAACAAATTAATGTATAGCCACCTGCAAATAATTACTGCTGCTGCCAAATCTGCTACCCATCTCCCAGTTACGAGCAGAAGGCAACATGATGATTTAAGCTTAGATGGTGGCGGACAAGAAGTTGGTCAGCAGTGCATCATCCCTGTGACAAGGAAAGCCAAGCACATCCTGGTCTATATTAGCAGGAGTGTAGTGAGCAGATGCAGGGAAGGGATTCATCCCCTCAGTTCATCGCTTCTGAGACCACTTCTGGAGTGCTGTGTCCAGCTTTGGGCCTCCCAGCACAAGAGAGACATTGACATACTGGAGCAAGTCCAGCAGAGGCCACAGAGGTTGTCTGGGGCTTCATGTCTCAATGGGGTGTTTCGTTGGTCTGGCTGTAACACTCTGAAGTTACGCTTTAGTTTGTACCAATATTTCTGTGCAGATAAGTCACTAGCATCTAGTACTGCTATTTTGGTATATGGGAAAGTGCAATTTTGTGTTTTGAAACAGCTGATATTACTAAAAATTATCTCCTGGCCCTTCTGAGCCTCGTTTGTGCAAGAGGAACTTTGTTCACTTCACCTTCAAAGACTATACTAAGGGAACGGCTGCTTTTTAGGAGAGCTGTTACACTTATAATATAGAAGAAAGTGGCAGCATTTAATGTAAGGTTTTAAAACTGGTGGTTCATTTATTGTTTGTTCACCCAATTTTAAAATCTATATGTAGGTGATAAAACCAAACTTAAAATGTAAAAACTTGCTAGTATGTACGCAAAGCTGAAAGTAAAAGCTAATAATACTATTTACTTTTTTGCTCTTGTTTTATTTTTAGGATTTCTTCTTTTATTCACTAGTATATGATCCTCAACAAAAGACCCTTCTTGCAGATAAAGGAGAGATTCGAGTCGGAAACAGATACCAGGCAGATATAACAGACTTACTAAAAGAAGGTAATTTCCATAATTTATTTAAATTGTCAAGAGGCCGTGTTGAATGTGGCCACTTTTATGTGTGCAGCCTGTATACATGTCGGAGGTGGAGGTTTCCCCTGCCAGGTCATGCGTACAATAATGGCCTGGTTTGGTGACTGGAGCTGTTGCCCACTGAACACAGTTAGTTATGTCTCAAACTGGTCTTTAAGTAGGCATTTGTCCAAATCATAAAAGTTGTTGAAACAAATTCAATTAATTGGCTTTCTCAGAGCCTGCACTCTTTTTATTAAGAGATTTCAGAATTTCCATGGGAAACACAAATTTCCATCACAGCTGTAAAGCCTTTTGTATTTTTAGTCAAGCCTCACTTCCCTATAAGAACTCCTCCCAAATTACTGCCAATTAAATGCTGTCTTCCCTCATCAATTTGCCCATTATTGCTGGGTGCCTTTTCCTCAGAGCCCTCTCCCCATCCCAAGTGCTGGCTGCCAGCCTAGACTTCTCACCTGCGGAACAGGCAGGAGGAAGAATTTGCTGGCCTGAACGTGTTGTGAGACCTCAGCCTGCCCCCACTGTGTCATGGAGTGGTGGGACCACGAGGACCGTGGCCCAATGAAAAGGGAGTAGTACCAGTAACCAATACTAGTTACCAAATAGTAATTGACTTTAGATTTGTCTTTGCGCTACTCTACAGATCCAAAAGTGGTGGAAAAACTGCGAGGGATGGGGAATACTGGCATCTAATTGCTCCTTTGTGAGACCCATGTAATGCACGGGGAAAGGTCTGTCAGTATGCTTCTAAGAGAGCAGGGGTTGTGACCTGTGTTGGAAGGACCTTCTCTAGACTGTATGGGCAGAGATGTGAAAGCAATGAGACGCTTCTGTCTTCGCTTAGGAACTTTGCTGATACTGTTAGCCTCATATTAGAACAGGCAAACAAATTGGTCAGGACTCTTGTTTAATTTGTCTATGAAACTGGTATTTATTCAGCAGCTGGGCAAGCCTCCTAAGTGAGGATGAACTAATTTGAAAGGCATTCTCTTCCCTCAGCGGGCCAACACGGGGCTTCAGAGAAGGATAATCTCCAGATGTTTTAAAGGGAGCAAATAAAAAAAAGTCTCAGTAGCTCCTGTGTTTTTCCAGGGTGTTTTGGTTTGTGTAGAGTCAGGAAAATAAAGGCAAGAGAGTCTGATGCCATGATTTCCCCCTTAGAAAGCAGCTGATGCAAGTTGAACCAGCTACTCTTTGCCTGCTCAGAGCAGCTGGGAGTGTGTCTGTTTTCCTGGAACTGCTGCAAGATAAAGGAGAAGAAGAGAGGAGCTGGGGAGAGGGGCTGAAGAGAGACTGTCTAGTTGGGAGAAGGATGTACTCTGTTTCCCATTACACTTGTCCTTTGAAACCAAAATCTGATTGCCTGATTCAGACAAGCTGTGTTGCTGTGTCTGTCAAGCTGAAATTGTCACAGACAAATAGGTGAATGAAATTTTCACAGTGGCCTGTTAGGCAGAGTAACTGAGATGGATTAGCAGTTAAATTATTGTGAGATAAAAAAATCTAGAAAGTACTTTTATTTTAAAACAACTGTACCAAGCATTTCTAATTTGTTTTTCAACCAGGTGAGGATGATGGAAGAGATCAGTCAAAACTTGAAACAAAAGTTTGGGAAGCTTTTAACCCGCTAGTAGACAAGCAGATAGACCAGTTCCTGGTGGTAGCACGGTAAGAGCATTTTACCTCTCCTTGAATAAGTAAATGTTAATAACTCTACCAAGCACTTTTTATGTTCTTTTTGCTTTGCTAGTATGAATGCTGGTTTTGGTTGCTTGATTCATTTGCTCCATTTTGAAATGATGGACATTTTACATGCCTTCCTGGGAATTGCATGACTTTAGGAACAGCTATTCAGATTTACAACATAGTTAATCACTTTCATAAAAGAAAAACAAATGGCATATAAAAACTATCCTGTAATTGGTGAGGTTTTTCAAATACTTTGGCCAGCATGCAGAAGGCTTAGTGAACTAAATTCTTGACAGTTCATTACTGTGTCCATTTTCTCCCTTTTTCAAATCCAGTGACATTTTAACATCCGTTAATAGTTTGCTAAGAAGTCTGATAGTGTTTTTGATGGAGCATGGATGCAAACCCTGCAAATCTGTACAGATGGTGAAATGTGTCCTTTTATTTAAGCCCAAAGCAATCTTTGCTGATGAACTTTTCCTTTTTAGAATGTTCTTCATTGGTATGCACTTATATGAACAGAAGCCTATAGTAAATTTTAGACTCCCATAGCAACTGGTGACTGAATAATTTGGGGGGGGGAGGGAGAAAAAAGGTAACACTCTCCAAACTCTGTCTTTTAGGTAAGCTTGTAGGACTGTGTGGGAGGAAAGTGGTGTGAGTAGATGGGTAATTGGACCTTTTGATGTTTTTAGTCAGTGGAGCAAGTTGTCATTGGATATGGTTAGGAAAGGGGTGTGTAAAGTTACAAGTTGCTAGTAGCATCTGGTTTGCTAGTCTTGAGAGTTCTGCTCGTTGGCTGTGATATCTGATAGACCTGGACCCTTGCTATTATTACGAACTTTGGCCAAAATTTTTTAAAATGGCTAATCTGAATTGCAGCACTTGAAAACCTTTGCATGGCTGCTTGGGCCTTGTGTGCAAGTCCAGTAACAGGGAGGCAAGAGTGAAACTAGGCTGGTTAAGATCAAAAATGTTAACTGCAGTCCAGATTAAAGAAAATCTCACAGTTCAGAATCCATTAATACATTTTTGCCTTTGGTTAAACATGTGCTTTTTGTGGTATAGGCTTTTTTAAAGTTCATAAAGTTCATAATGTTCTGGCTACACTAAAGGATCACCATAAAATTTAGGCTCTTGGAAGTTTCACTGTGCTGCTTACACGATATATTGCTGTTTCCCTTGACCTGTGCCAACAGTAAAGTCAAACTGGCTGAACTAAGTGATTTATGTGCAACAGATTAATTCTACTTGATCAGATGGACATAGGGAGATGGATGAAAGTGGGGAGAGGATAGTCTCCACCAGCAATGCAGAACAAACAGATGAAGGAGCGATGGGAAGAGCTAGGATATCTCGAGCAAGGGGTATTCCTGCTTCTCATGGGACCCTTCTTGACAAGGCTGCGGTTTCACAGTTGCTTCTAATCAAGTGAAGTACAGGACACCACCAAAAAGCCAAGAATTTTTTC